GCAGCAAATCCCAAAGAAGGAGAAAACGCACAAATTAGCATCATCAACAATGAAAACTAAATTAACAGTAGATAGCAATCACTGGTCATTCAAATCCCTTAATGTAAATGGACTCAACTCACCAATAAAAAGGCACAGGCTGACAGATTGGATACAAAAACAGAATCCATCCTTCAATGCATACAAGAAACACATCTCAACCTCAAAAACAGACATCGTCTCAGAGTAGAGGGTTGGGAAAAATATACCAATCAAATGGACCTATGAAACAAATGGGTGTAGCTATTCTGATATCTAACAACAGACTTCAAGCTAAAATCAGTCAAAAGAGACAAAGAAGATCACTTCATATTAGTCACAGGAAAAATTTTTCAAGAGGAAATGTCAATACTGAATATCTATGCCACAAATACAATGGCATCCTCATATGTAAAAGAAACACTTCTAAAGCTTAAATCATACAATAAACCCCACACACTAATAGTGGGAGACTACAACACTCCCCTCTCACCACTGGACAGGTCAGTCAGACAAAAATGAACAGAGAAATAAGGAAACTAACAGTTGTTATGTCTCAAATGGACTTAACAGACATGTATAGAATATTCCATCCAAAGAGAAAAGAATATACCTTCTTCTCAGCACCTCATGGAACCTTCTCAAAAATTGACCACATACTCGGTAACAAAACAAACCTCAACAAATACAAAAAATTGGAATAACACAATGTACCTTATCAGATCATCATGGTTTAAAACTAGAAGTCAACAGCAATATTAATTCCAGAAAACCCACAAACATGAGGAAATTAAACAATGCTCACCTGAATCATCAATGGGTCAAGGAAGAAATAAAGGGAGAAATTAAAGCCTTCCTAAAATTCAATGAAAATGACCACACAACATACCCAAATATATGGGACACAAAGAAAGCAGGGTTAAGAGGAAAGTTCATAGCACTAAAGGCCTACATGAAGAAGCTGGAAAAATCACACACTAGTGAATTAGCAGAGCATTTGAAAACTTTAGGACAAAAAGAAACAAACTCACCTAAGAGAACTAGATGGTAGGAAATAATCAAATTGAGAGCTGAAATCAACAAAATAGAAATGAAGAAAACAATACAAAGAATCAATGAGACATGAGTTGGTTCTTCGATAAAAATCACAAAATAAAGAAAAAACCTTTATCCAAACTAACCAAAAGGCAGAGAGAGAATATCCAAATTAACAAAATCAGAAATGAAAAGGGGGACATAACAACAGACGTGGCAGAAATACAGAGAATCATCAGGTCATATTTCAAAAACCTGTACTCCACAAAATTGGAAAACTTAAAGGAAATGGACAACTTTCTGGATAAATTTCACTTACCAAAATTAAATCAAGTCCAGATAAGCAAATTAAACAGACCTATAACTGCTGAAGAAATAGAACTCTCCCAACGAAAAAAAGCCCAGGACCAGACGCTTTCAGCTCAGAATTCTAGAAGACTTTAAAGAAGAATTAATACCAATACTCTTTAAATTATTCCACACAATAGAAACAGAAGGAACATTGCCAAACTCTTTTTATGAGACTACAATTACCTTGATACCCAGAAACCGAAAGACATTGCTAAGAAAGAGAATTACAGACCAATCTCACTCATGAACATTGATGCAAAAATACTAAATGAAATACTAGCAAATCGAATCCAAGAACACATCAGAACCATCATCCACCATGATCATGTCAGCTTTTTTTCCGGAGATGCAGGGATGATTGTACATACAACAATGTGTCAACGTAATCCACTATATAAACAAACTGAAAAATAAGTCCACATGATCATCTTATTTGATGTCCAAAAAGCTTTCGACAAAATACAACATTTCTTCATGAAAAAGGTCTTGGAGAGATCAGGGATACAAGGAACATACCTAAATATATTGAAGGCAATATACAGCAAGCCTATAACCAACATCAAACTAAATGGAGAGCAACGCCCAGTAATCCCACTGAAATCAGAAACAAGACAAGGTTGTTCACTCTCTCCATATCTATTCAATATAGTTCTCGAGGACCTAGCTAGAGCAGTAAGACACCAAGAGGAGATCAAGGGCTTATAAATCGGAAAAGAAGAATTCAAACTCTCACTGTTTGCTGATGATATGATAGTTTACATGAGCAATCCCAAAAATTCTACCAAGGAACTTCTACAACTCATAAACACTTATAGTAATGTAGCAGGATGCAAGATTAACTCAAAAATATCAGTAGCCCTCCTGTACATAGATGATAGAATGGCTGCTAAAGAAATCAGAGAAACAACACCCTTTACTATAGCCACAAATAGCATAAAATATCTCAGAGTAACTCTAACCAAAGAAGTGAAAGACATGTATGACAAGAATATTAAATATTTAAGAAAGAATTTGAAGAAGACACTAGAAAGTGTAAAGATCTCAATTACTCTTGGCTATTTAGAATTAACATAGTAAAATTGTCAGCCTTACGAAAAGTAATCTATAGATTCAATGCAATGCACATCAAAATCCCAAGCAAATTTTATCACGAACCTCGAAAGTACAGTGCTCAACTTCATATGGAAAAGCAAAAAACCCAGGATAGCCAAAATAGTCCTGTACAATAAAAGAACTTCTGGAGGCACCACAATCACTGACTTCAAACTCTCTACTAAAGAGCTACAGTACTGAAAAGAGCCTGGTATTGGTATAAGAACAGACAGGAGGACCAATGGAACCAAATAGAAGAACAGAATATTAATCCACAAACCTCCAAACACCTTATTTTTGATAAAGTAAAAATATCAAGTGGAAAAAAGAAAGCATATTCAACAAATGGTGCTGGCATAACTGGATATCAACATGTAGAAAAATGAAAATAGACCCATATCTATCACCATGCACAAAACTCAAGTCCCAATGGATCAAAGTCCTCAACATAAAGCCAGCCACACTGAACCTTATAGAAAAGAAAGTGGGAAGTACTCTTGAATGCATTGGCACAGGAGACCAAGCCCAAAAACACAGACAGTGAGAGAAACAATTAATAAATGGGACCTCCTGAAACTGAAAAGCTTCTATAAAGCAAAGGACACAGTCTTCAAGACAAAACAACAGCCTACAGACTGGAAAAAGATCTCCACTAACCCCACATTAGACAGAGGTCTGATCTTCAAAATATACAAAAAAAACTCAAGAAATTGTTCATCAAAAGAACACATAATCCAATAAAATATGGAGTATAGACCTAAGCAGAGAAATCTAAAGCAAATGTTCAACCTCCTTATTTATCAGAGAAATATAATTCAAGACAACTCTGAGATTCCATATTGCACCTGTACTAATGACCAAGATCAAAAACACTGATGACAACTTAGCTGGAGAGGTTGTATGGTAAACGAAACACTTCTGCATTGCTGGTGGGAATGCAGTGTGGTGATTTCTCAGAAAATTAGGAAACAACCTTCCTCAAGGCCCACTTTTGGGTATTTATCCAAAGGATACTCAATCGTGTCACAAAGACATGTGCTCAACTATGTTCATAGCAGCATTGTTTGTCATAGCCAGAACCTGGAAACAAACTAAATGCCCCTTGACCGAAGAATGAATAAGGAAACTGTGGTACATACACAACGGAGTACTACACAGTAGAAAAAACTAACAACATCTTGAATTTTGTAGGCAAATGGATGAAGCTAGAAAACATTATTTTGAGTGAGGTAATCCAGATACAGAAAGACAATTATCACATGTACTTACTCATAAGTGTTTTTTAAAGCATAACGCTAAGAAATCCAGCCCACTATTCACAATTCCATAGTACCTAGACAACAGTGAGGACCCCAAGGGAGACAACCATATATCTAATCTACATGGGGAGTAGAAAAAGACAAGATCTTCTGAGTAAATTGGGAGCATAGGGACCTTGGCAGAGGGTTGAAGGGGAGGGGGGAGGAAGCAAGGGGGCAGAGAAAATGTAGAGCTCAAGAAAAATAATAAAAAGACACATTTATTGATGTATAACTTACATAGAATGAACTTCACTCCTTTTAAATATATACTGACATACTTGTATGATTACCAGCACTACAAGGAGCATTTCTTCATGTATTTTTGCTGAACATCTTCACTGTCCTACCTGAATTCTTGGCAACTCCTCATATGTTCGCTATCTCTGTGCTTTTGTCTTTGGGGAAATATTGTGTACCTGATGTCTTTGATTTAGCACAATGCTTATTAGAAATTTGTCTTCTTTTTGTTTCTGAATTGTCCATTTTTGAATGTTTCACAGTTTACTTATGCATTGACCATTTGTTGAACATTTTTGTTGGTTGGTTTTACTTTGTGGGTATTATAAATAAAGGTGTAATGAACACTCACCTACATATCTTTGTATGGGCATGTGTTTGTGTTTTTCATTTCTACTTGTATGGAAATTGTATGCTTAATTTCCCCAAAACCTGGCAACCATTTTTAAGAGTGTGAATAATTTGCATTCCCAGGAGCAGTGCAGAAGATGTCAGACCGGCTTACATTGTCACAGTGTTTGCATTTTTAGGAAGTTTTAATTTTAACCATTCTTGTGTATCTTACAGTTTTAGTTTTTAGTACATTTCTGTACTAATGAATGACATTGAACATTGTTCTGTTGCTTATTTATCATCCTCTATCTTCTTGTATCTTTTACATACTTTGACTATTATAGCCTTTTTTTGTACGTTTGTGGTTTGTGTGTATTTTGAGGTATCAATTCTTTATCTGGTAAACATACTTTGTCTATTTTCTTGCTGCCTATGGCTTATCATTTTATTTCCTTAGCAGTGTCTTTTGTAGAATTTTAGATTTGGGTTAAGTCTAAGTATTTCTATCTGATGAATCATTACCCCCTCAAGCATTTGACTGTTTATTGTGTAGGGACATAGGCCCCCCTTAACAAAGATGAGTATGGGAGTACTATGCAGAAGTTATTAGTAAATTAGCCTTAGGAGACTAGGATGTACCTTAGTGGTATAAAGTGTCTACCATGGAGTTTCTGCTGCATCCCCTTGCCTATTGCCATTCCCGCCTACAAGCTAGTCCTCATTCGGCAAGTCGAGAGCGCCTGAAACCTGGAGAACTGCTCCAGCAGCTGGTATGATGCCGACCTGAGCCCGTCGGGCCACGAGGAGGCAAAGCACGGCGGACAGGTGTTGCGAGATGTTGGCTATGAATTCGACATCTGCTTCACCTCCGTGCAGAAGAGAGCAATCCGGACCCTCTGGATAGTCCTGGATGCCATTGACCAGATGTCAATGAGCGGCACTATGGGGGGTCTGACTGGTCTCAATAAAGCAGAAACTGCTGCTAAGCATGGTGAGGCAATCTTACGATGTCCCACCACCACCAATGAAGCCTGATCATCCCATCTACAGCAACATCAGTAAGGATCGCAGGTACGCAGACCTTACTGAGGACCAGATACCCTCCTGTGAGAGCCTGAAGGATACTATTGACAGAGCACTGCCCTTCTGGAATGAAGAGATTGTCCCCCACATCAAAGAGGGGAAGAGAGTCCTGATTGCGGCCCATGGCGACAGCCTTCGGGGGATCGTCAAGCATCTGGAGGGTCTCTCAGAAGAGGCCATCATGGAGCTGAACCTGCCAACTGGCATTCCCATTGTCTATGAAGTGGACAAGAACTTGAAACCCGTTAAACCCATGCAGTTCCTGGGAGATGAAGAGACCGTGCAGCAAGCCATGGAAGCTGTGGCAGTTCAGGGCAAGGCCAAGGAGTGAAGGCGAGCAGACAGACTTCTACCCCCAAACCCTCCTCCCTGCCTGTTTCTGCCTCCTGCACTCTTCCCAGCACCTGTCACCAACTCCATGTTTAGGAACTTAAGTTTAAGTTGTAGCTGCAGATGGGGACCCGTGGCTCCCATTTTGCTTTAGTATTTTATCCCCTGCACCCACTCCCTTCATAGAATCTAGTCAGAGTAACACCTCTAGGGTGCAGGTTCTTGGTCCACATCAAGGGACGGCTCCTCTTCCCAGGAGAGTTGAGAGGTAGTAATTACATTACAGTTCTCTTAGTCCTTTGTTTACAAGGGTCTGCTTTAGGAGGAGGTCAGGGAGGAACCATGCTGTGGCCCGACCAGTGAGAAGCTGCAGCCAAGTTTTGTCCCTGGAGCCTGTCCTGCACATTTCTGCAGTTGGGTAACTGGGGTCTGTAGTCATTCCAGTGGAAGGTGAAAGTAGCTTGCATTTAAAAGATGAACTACCTTCCTCTCTGAGTTGGGATCAATCCTGTCAAGTCTGTGTGTTACATTTACTTTTACAGAAACAAAAAGAAGTACATATATATTTATCAGCACACAAACCCCTCTGAGGTTTCTAGTGGTGATTGAAGTAGTCCTATGTGGTCACCAGAAAATAAGCCATTCCTCATATTAAGTGGGATAAACTCCTTGTCCTCAAGGGACAGAAGTGTCTCTTACTGTGTGTTAGGATCCCTCTGCCATGTGCTGTAGAGGTGAAGTGCCCCTTGATCATGTCCAGGGTTTTGTCTTTTGCTGTCTGAAACATGTTACAGCTGCTTGACCCTACCATGTGGGCTCAGAACTTGTTTTGGGCATACTAAATCTTCGTTTCCAGATCAGTTTAATAAAGGAGTGATGTGCAATAAAAAAAGTGTCTAGCATGTATGAGGCCTTAAGTTCCATTCCAAGAACTATTTTTTAAAAAGATACTAGCTTTAAGATCACTTTAAAGTGCCTGCCTCCTCATGAAATTGAGAGAAGTTTAGATAAATCTTGTAGCATTTTCCATATCATTTTTGTAAGGATTACTGCCATTCAGACACTGGGGCTTTTAAAATCCTTTAACTTTCTATACTGATATTTCATTTGCATTTTAATAAATAAAGCTTGCCTGAAGATCAGAGAGTGAAACAGTCCCACTGGTAAGTCTTACAGACCAAGCAGTGGTCACACACACTTTTAATCCCAGTAGCCACAATTGCTTGCCATAGAAACCAGGCAGTAGTGCTGCACGCTTTTAATCCCAGCCCTAGAGAGGATTATAAAATGAGAGGAAAAAGCTATCAAACACATACTCATCCTGAGATTCCTGGAGGCAGGATTGCCATTTTGGACTGAGGTAGAGGTAAGAGCCAGTGGCTGGCTGTTTTCTTTTCTGACCTCTGGTTGAACTCCAATATCTGTCTTCGAGTTTTTATTAATTATGCTACTCGTACTACAGTTGGGATGTTTTAATCTCTGATCTTCTTAGTTATATCATGGGTATACCTACACAAATAAAAACAGACAATGCTCCAGCATATGTCTCTAAGAAAATTAAACAGCTTTATTCATCAACCAATAAAAGCAACACATATACAGAAGGACATCCCTCATCAACTTTTCTTCACTGTAAGGTCAGGCGGTGGTGGCACATGTCTTTAATCCCAGCACTAGGGAGGCAGAGGCAGGCGGATCTCTGTGAGTTCGAGGCCAGCCTGGTCTACAAGAGCTAGTTCCAGGACAGGCACCAAAAACTACAGAGAAACCCTGTCTCAAAAATAAAACAAAACAAAACAAAACAAAACAAAACTTTTCTTCACTGTAGCTGAATAATAGCGATGAATTCATTGGTTGCTTAGATGCAATTGATATTTTGCCCAGTTTTTGTATTTAAACAAATATACTTGATTGCTGGATGATAGAAAGAGAAAATAAAACATTTCTGCCCCCAACACATGACATCCTAAATGGGATAAACTGTGTATGGTTAACCAGAAGTCAAGGGATGTTATATGGCCAGAATTAGGTATATGGTGATCAGGTATGTAAGAGAAGGCAGGATTGTGGGGACCTTCAGTTGCCTTTTGGGGCCTGAAGCACCATTCTATTAAAAAAGTGAATTAATATTCATGATTGAAGTCTTGGGATGATTTGGGCTTGTCTTTAGATGATTTTGATTACCTGAATTTTTTGAAAATGGTGGAGTTGGGGCTGGTGGTATACCTACTTGGTAGGATTTTTGTTTAGATTTTTGAAAAACCCTTGGTTTGATAACCAACACTGTCTACAACAGACCTGTTGATACATGCATGCCTATACCCAGCACTTGGGAGTCAGATCCAGAAGGGTCAGAAGTTCAAGATCACCCTTGATTGCATACTAAATTCAAAATCAGTTTGAAATACATGAATACTATCTCAAAACACACTGAACAATAGAGTTAAGGTATTTGGGGGCTTTGGTGTCTGCTTTGGTTTTTGTCTAGGGCTACCCTGGGTCAGGAACCATGTTAGTTGACTTGTCTGAAAGTGCAGGAAAAGAGGCTGCAGGTTTTTGTTTTTTGGTTGCTGTTGTCATTTGTTAACAAAACCTACAAACATTTTTTCCTGTCCTCTCTAGCAGTCATATGTGACCCATGTGAGTGAAGGGTAGACGGGAAGCTTCTTAGCCCTCACATTGAAATGTAGCTGCTATCTCTTGTTTATTTCTGTCTTTCATCCTTTTGCAAAGCACAATAAATGTAACCGGCGGCCACCTGGTTGTGTCCCAGGAGTCTAATTGCCTACTGGACCCCATCACCACATCTATGTTGCTTGCTATGCCTCCTTAAGCTGAAAAACTAGCAGGACAAGGTGGGATTGTGTCATGAGTGAGAGACCTGAATTTCAACTAGGACAATGAAAAAGTAGGAGAATGAGGAGTATCTTCTCTTAGGGCAAGCAGCAGTGCTCCTGTTGGAAAAACAGATGAGGAGGGAGGACAGAACTTCAATTTCATCTCAGGTGAGGGGCCTAGACAGGACCAGGAAATCTTTCTAGTTGTCATTTTTTTTTTAAAATGTAAGCAAGAGTTCTTAATACCAATGTTGATAAACCCATCAAATGAATTGAATCTACCTAATGTCCTGCAACCCCCACCTCAGCCATTAGTGTACTTTAGGATGCCAGGTGTTCTCTTCATGGGTTCAGAGCTGACTGGGAGGTGCATTCCAGTACCCCAAGAGAGGATAGTTCTGCTACTCTGGGTAAAGATTCAAATTCAGAATACAGTACAAGTATAATTTCTGTGGGATACCATTATTTCTCTGCTTTTTTTTTTTTTAAAAAAACAACTTTCTTTGTATTTATTCTTTATATCTTTCGGTTATGCATCTTGATCCCATTCATTTTCAGTCCCTGCATATCTGCCCTCTTCCCTTACAGTGCCCCCTCAATAAAATTTAAGAGAAATAAAGAGAACAAAGCGGGGAGGGGAGGAATCTTCATTGTGGAAACTGTGGTGTGATATAGTGGGTCATGCAGTATACCCTTTAGTCCATACATGTTTACTTGCAAATGCTCATTGCAGAGAGTCATTTCATTGATCTGGTTCGAGGCCTCTCTGGTTTCTGCTATACTAAGGATGCTGGGCCTTCACTGGAACTCCTCTTGGTTATTCTGGTGTTGTTCTGTGTCATTGAGATCCTGCAGTTTTGGGTCTGCAGGACCAGTTCCTTCACATATTCTAGCAGATCACAGATGTAGTGGATATTAGGGTGGGCCAACCCATAACCCTGGTTCTGGGCCTGGATAGTTGCAGGTTTTATTAAGAAATATTATAAGTTGAGCTATTATAAGTCAAGGGGTGTGCTAAACCCTATTCTAGGAATTTTATAATTATTAACTTCCTTAATTCCTCAATACCATTTTAGTTTTTTGATGAGAAAAATGAGAGACATTGAGGGGTTTGCCCAGGTTACCCAGCTTATTAAATGGTAAAGCAGAGCTTTAAAGCTGTCTGACTCACACTCTCTGTTCTGAGCCTTTTGAATCCAGGAGCTACTTTCCTCCATTCTTTCTCATACTATGAGAATGAGGGAACTCTCATGCAGGTTGTAGCTGCATTGGGTTGTACCAATACTCAGCTTGTGGGGAGCCTAGAGGAAGATAGCAATATCCTGTGCCTTACATTCCTGTTCTAACAAGGCAGGGCCGTACTATGGTTTATGTACCTGCTATCATGTCTGTTGACCCTCTTTGATACTGAGTTCTTTCCCCAACTCCTTGTGTCCAAAAGCACATTTCCACTTCCTTTCAGCATTCTTGGCAAAGGCTTCTGCAGACTTCTTCCTCCCTTGCTTTTTCACAGGGAAATGAGCTTAGGGAGGAAATCGGGCTTGATCCATGGATATACACTTGTGACTTTCTTGTGGATACAGACATGCCTCATCACACAGTTTTCCTTCATTTTAAAAGAAATCTCATTGTTAGTACCTGGGCTATCCTGCCTGGGCTCATTGGATAGCAAAAGAAAGGAAATGGTCCTTTCTCTAAGATGAGCCTAGTGGGATGTGCGTAATTAGTCCTTATTTAAGACCCCAGACTCCATGCAGAGAAGATTATTTTGTAGCTATCTTTGCTAGCTGGGTAGAGTGATTTACTTTTTCATCATGGCTGTCATTCCTTGCTGTATAGCACTTCTTTGTTTTTTAGGTCAGCATGGTAAGCAGACTAATATTTTATTACAGTGCTCCAGCTCCTCACAATTGCTAGTTGGACAGAAGCTGTGGAAACAGAACACATTTTCTCCCTGCTATTATATTTTGTACAGTAGAGTAGCATGGCATATTCTACTATGCCAGAAGCTGTGAGTGACAAATGGATCTGTGCAGTGACTGAAAATGACAGAATATTACCTGCTAATTAAGAAAGTGCCTGTGTTTTGAACCTGTGATTGAACTAGCATAAAGTAGGTAGTATATTACAGACCCAGTGTTACAATAACCTGCAGCCACAAGCAAGGACTCATTTTGTCACATTGCAATTCTCAGATCAGCAATTTAGTGTTATTTA